TCCCACTGTCCACCCATCAAAGCCACCTCGTGCCCTAGTCCAAAGTGATGAGAGGGCAAATTAAGGGAGCTTGGCTTTGGGGACAGCCACATGAGCCCCTACCTCCTCTCACCCTGTGGGTCCTCCGAGGGGAAGAAGCGACGCCACTTCAGGACCCTGGTGAGCTCCCCTCAACTCCAGCACCTTTCATCCCTCCTGGTGTACACACCAATACTCATTGTCCAGCAACTCTGCTGGGAACCCAAAAAACTCCCACACCCCCACATCAGACCCCAACTCAGCCTGGACATCACTGGGCCTTCCCTCCACCTGCGGCTTCTCCCCTTCCCCACTGGCCAAATGTTGGCTCCCCCATGTGCACCCTCTCCTACCTCCAAACACCTGGGGTCTCTGCTGGATTTCCAGAACCTAGCAAGTGTCTAGTGCAGAGTTGCCACTCAATAAGCATTTACTGAATGAAGGAGAGAATGAGTGATTCCACAGTCTAGTCTCCAAATCAGAGCTAGACTCCTGTCTCGTCTCCTCCCAACCCTATCCCCACCACACCCCAGGCCTCCTTAAAACCCCCTCCCTGATTAATCCCTGGAGCTCTGGGGTACTCCACCCTCCCACTCCTGCCCCCTATTCCACAAGCAATGATGCCCAGAACTCTGAATAACAACCCTGATTCCCTCCTGAGCTCTCCGATTCAGTTTCTCCCATGTCCCTGTTGGTGTCCCATGGCTTCGGTATTTCTATGGACCGTGCTCCCTCCTAGTCTCTACCCCTACCCCATCCCTGACTAGGATCTGGGTAGGAACAGGTAAGGAGAGGCTGATATTGACAACGAAGAAAGGGACATGCTCTAGAAACACAGAGGAAGGCAAAGACGCCTAGAACAAGAGGCTGTTTGGGACACAGCCGCCTCCTTGGGACAAGCCAGCCACTCCACCCCGAGGTCATAGGTCCAGGGCACATAGCTCAGGTGTGCCCCTGGGATTTGGGGGGCAGGCTCTACCCCAGGTCGCTGCACCCATTGCCTGCACTCAGAGCATGGAGTCCAACTGATGCTTCTAGAAGCCCTTTGCCCTTCCCCACTTCCAGCAGCAATGGGAGGGGGAGAGGCAGGGAGGAAGCTTGTAAAGGGCTTTGAAGATGAAACAGGCCTGTGGCCAAGGACTGTTGACACAGCGACACTGAAGAGGCAATTGTGTTGGCTCTTAGGAGGCCGGGGTGATGCCAAGCCAATAAAATGCGGGCAGCTATTGTCTCTCTGCTGCCCCTTTTAACGCCAGCTGCCCCTGGTGCATAAAAGGGCCGGCCACAGCCCAGGGAGCACAGGGTTTGGGCTCCGTCCTCTGCCAGCTTCTCCACCATTCAGACACCTCCCTTCCTCCATCATGACCTGTGGCTTCAGCTCCGTGGGCTGTGGATTCAGCCCCAGGACTTTCAGCTGCGCGTCGGCCTGCGGGCCCCGGCCCGGCCGCTGCTGCATCACGGCCGCCCCCTACCGCGGTGTCTCCTGCTACCGCGGCCTCTCCGGGGGCTTCGGCAGCCGCAGCCTCTGCGGGGGCTTCCGCGCCGGCTCCTGCGGCCGCAGCTTCGGATACCGCTCCGGCGGCATCTGCGGCCCCAGCGCGCCCTGCATCACCACCGTGTCGGTCAACGAGAGCCTCCTGGCGCCCCTCAACCTGGAGATCGACCCCAACGCGCAGTGCGTGAAGCACGAGGAGAAAGAGCAGATCAAGAGCCTCAACAACAGGTTCACTGCCTTCATTGACAAGGTGGGTGTCCTTGATCACGCCTTTCCTGAGCCTTCAGTTCCTGCGCTAGGCACTGAAGGGGTAGTCAGGGGAAGGAGGGGTGGGGTCCAGGTGAGTTCCCAGTCTGATGGAGGAGATGGACACACACCCAGGGCACAGACAGACAGAGACATGTGTATAGGGCAGGGGCTCCTGATCTGATAGCACTGTTATTATACACGACCTCTGTCCAGACAGGCAGGGTCCCCACGGACAAAGGGGATGTCTTTGATCACACCCTTCCTGAACTCAACCCATGCTCAGGACTTAGGCTGGGCACAGAGAGTGGAGCCAAAGGTGGGCACTTGCCCAAAGAAGCTCCCAGTCCAAAGGGAGAGGCAGTCATACCTCTAGGACACAGAAAGACAAGAATAGGATCAGAAGCTGCCAGTCTGATGGGGGAGACAAACTGAAAACACACAAGCAGAACTAGGGGCAGAACCTTTAGTGCCGAGAGATTACATCTCCTTGTGAGCAAAGGGCTGCTGTGTTGCTGTTCAAAGCATTTAAAGCCAAATGATGGCAAGGAGGTGCTCCCTATGTCAAAGGCAGAGCTAGTGACTGTGATCCTGGAAGACGGCCTTGAGGGAATCTCGCGGATCGCACAGAGCAGTTTCTATACCACGTGGTTACTTGGCTGCTGAGCAGGGGCCAGAGTGGTTTGTTTAAGCCACTGTGCCCGGGACTCGGGATCCAGGAGTGGGCAATAGACACCGTCCTCACTCTCCTGGGTCTTACGGGGAGGCAGGCAGTATGCGGGCGAGATGCAGTTGAACCCATCTGCAGATGTCAGTGTTCAGCTTGAGTCTGCAGCCGTCTTCTCCACCAAATCCAGGCAACCACCATGTGGTGGTGGTTCGAGAAGTCAGGGGGAGAAGGCTCCCACTAGGAAGCAGTTCCGAGGCCGGGAGAGCACTCCAGAGCCAACCTCAGGAGAAGCCACACTAGAGAGATACCCACCAGGAAGGAGCAAAACACTCTGGAACTCCTAACAGCATGAGAGACCAAGGATAGCATAAGAAAGGACTTACCAGGGATGTGGAAAAGTTATTAGACAAAAAGACCTCAGTGGGCAGGTGGGCCAACCTCGTGGCAGGAAGGTAGATGTGAACTTCCTTGGGCGCACTAGTCTATAATCACTACAGTAAAAGAAGCAGCCCCTGCAGGGCAGAAGATCAGAGTCTGAGTTCTTCCTCCGCCCTTGTGAGACCTCAGGCAGTCAGGAACCTCCCTGGGCCTTCAATTCCTCCTCTGTGAGATGAAGGGGTCGGAGCACAGAACACCCTGCGCTAATACCCCAGGTGACTATTATTCTAATGGCATTGTTGTTGCAGGGTTTCAATAATTGGCACGTACTTTATTTTTCAGCTTTTACAGTCTGCCTTTCTAAAAGGTCAACCTGTTCATTTGCGCTCTGACAGTCACACCTGACAGTCTCGTAGCTGATCAGCGTGCAGGAGCCCTTCCGTACCAGGGCCCGTTAAACCCTCACAGCCAGGCGAGCACTCTGCAGAGGATTTAAGTGCTGTGCCCAAGGACACATTATTATTAATAAGCAGTGGCAGAGTCTGGGCTCAACATGGTTTAGCGCTTTCCATAACACCAGGTAAATCACCTTAGAAGAGACTGAAGTTAGCTCTCAGGAAGGACTTCCAGGTGGTGAGCTGATTAAGCCCCCGTGTGGTTTTGAGAGAGATGACATACGCCCTGCCAGGAAGGACTTGGTCAGACAGTAGGGGGCCGGCCAGTCCTGAGCTGGGAACCCCTCTTGCCCTCTGATCCTGCAAGAAGGGATTCTCAGGCTCTGCCTCTGGGGGGCAGGTGCGCTTCCTGGAGCAGCAGAACAAGCTGCTGGAGACCAAGCTGCAGTTCTACCAGAACCGCAAGTGCTGCGACAGCAACCTGGAGCTGCTGTTCAGTGGCTACCTCGAGACGCTGCGGCGGGAGGCCGAGTGTGTGGAGGCCGACAGCGGGAGGCTGGCCTCGGAGCTCAACCACGTGCAGGAGGTGCTGGAGGGCTACAAGAAGCGGTGAGCACAGGAAGGGGCTGGCCTGGGAGAGGGCTTGAAGGCAGCTCCCGGCACAGGGGAGTGTCCCGCTCTGTGGCCAGGTCTCTGCCTGGGGATAAGAGGGAATCTGCACTCTCTGCCCCTCCTCCAGGCACCCGGGTCTGTGGGTGCATGCCGGCCCCTGGGGGATGGAGCTCAGCTTGTCTTGCCACCAGCAGGTCAAGGAAATGCTGTTCTCTCCCTTTCTCCATCCACTAGACCCTTCTCTTAGGCCCCCAGAAAAATTCGTATTCTCTGGTCCCTGGGTCTAGCCCTCAAAGCCCTGGACATTCTTCTGAAATTTACTCCTTTCTCAACTGACACTTTCTGGGCAGCTACCAGCTGCCCACCAGACACAGGGCTGGATGCTAGTGATCCAGGGGCAAGCGGTGGACATAGTCCCTGCCCTTGTGGGGCTTCTAGGCCGCTGGGAGGCTGGCGTGGCACTGTCACAGGCATAGACCTTCAGTTACAAAGTGTGACACGTGACGGGAGGGTGCACGCTGGGTCCTTTAACGGACTCTGGTTCCGAGGGGTCAGCTTCCTTCAGGAGTGCTCTCAGCCACAGAGCAGGAGGGAGGGACAGACTGGCCTCCTCTTGGCTGTGCCCAGGAGGGGAATGACAGACAGGGGTCCCACTAGCTGTACCAAAGCCAGGGCCAAGGGGAGGGGTCAGCAGAAAGGAAAATGGAGACCTGGGTGAGAAACACAGCCACTGCCCACACCCCAACCACGCACACACAGCTTCTAGACCCTGCCCTCCTGCCCCCCTGAAAAGCTGAGCTGATGAGAGAGTGGGGGCTTCAGCTCTCCAGTGTGTCACAGTAGGCTTGGACCCGCAGCCTGATTTCTTCATGGTCCCACCCCGTTTCTTAGAGGCAGGGGGCAAGCAGGGGAAGGACTAGGAACTAGGCTTGTTTGCATGTGTGCTTCATGGCCAAGTCGAGAGCTGCTCAGACCATCCTGTTCTCGTGCCCTACTCAGATATGAAGAGGAAGTCACACTTCGGACCACAGCGGAGAACGAGTTTGTGGCTCTAAAGAAGGTGAGTGACTGAGCCAGGTCCCGCCCTGAGTCCCCGGCAACCCCATCCTCTCTGCCCTGCCGCAGGGTGGCCAGGCCCTCAGCGCCCCGAGGGGAGCTGGCCTCACGACCCCTGAACCCCCCACAGGACATGGACTGCGCCTACCTCCGCAAGTCGGATCTGGAGGCCAACGCAGAGGCGCTGACCCAGGAGGTCGACTTCCTGCGGCGACTCTATGAGGAGGTGAGGGGGCTCTCAGCCGTGGCGGGCATCCCCGACCCCTTGCCCAGCCCCCCAAAGGCCTACTGACGTGAGAACACAGGCCACGGCTGGAGGGCTAGAGGGGATCAAGGGTGGGGAGGAAAGGAGGCAGAGGAATGGAGAACCAAAAACGGACAGGATTAGTAGGGGGCAGGAGAGTGCGGTCTCAAGGATGACCGCGCCGTGTAAAACCCGTTTTCTCCGGCCACCAATAGCCTTCCTTTACATGCTCGGTCCGGGAGAATGGGAAACAGCACGACACAGGGCCTGGGCCCCTAGGATGGGTGGCAGCATGCTGGCTGGAGGGAAGCAAGCCAGGTTCACATGGGCCTGAATCATCCCAGAAGCCAGCATTTGAGAAGTAGTGCTATTTTCCTCTAAAAGGGATTTCTTATCTGTACAGAAAGTTATGTAATTTCATCAGAGGCTCTTCTGCTCCAAGCGTGAGACGTTGGCTCCAGACAGGCCAAACAGATTATAGGCATCAGCATCAGGCGGGTGAGGAAAAGCCCAGGTAACTTGGTTGTTCTGCCTCTTCCCCAACCCCATCCCCTCAGGAGATCCATGTTCTCCAAGCCAACATCTCGGACACCTCGGTCATCGTCAAGATGGACAACAGCCGGGACCTGAACCTGGACAGCATTGTGGCTGAGATCAAGGCTCAGTATGACGACATGGCCAGCCGCAGCCAGGCCGAGGCTGAGAGCTGGTACTGCACCAAGGTGAGTGGCACAGGACACCTGCCTCCTAGACATGGCAGTGGGAGGGATGCAAGGTATATATTAGCAAGGCTTCTTTTGTCAGGGGATTCTGATCTTTAGGGATGGTAAGAGAAGGGCAGAGAGCTCTCAGGTTGGGGTGGCTGGGCAGGGCTGCCATGTGTGGTTGTAAACGCTGAGCACTGTACAACCTGCACTATCATCTGTGGTGTCCTGATGGGCGGGATGTCCCATCCTGAGCCTCAGGAGCTTCTCTGCTTCCCCCCAGTGCGAGGAGATAAAGGCCACGGTGGTCCGGCACGGGGAGACCCTGCGCCGCACCAAGGAGGAGATCAACGAGCTGAACCGCCTGATCCAGAGGCTGACCGCCGAGATCGAGAATGCCAAGTGCCAGGTAATGGTCGTTTGGGGCCCACCCAGGGTGTGTGAGCCCAGTGTGGATCTCAGCACTCATCCTCCAGCCCGTGTGCATGACTAGAGTCCCTGCTTGTGGTCGCTCAGGGAGACCCCGGTGATGAGGGCAAGAGGCCTGTTCCTGGGTGTCCCCAGCTGGGCAGGAGGACTGGACATGTGCAGGAAATGGACAGAGAGACCCAGGGACCATGACCCACCTCGTTCTTTTCTGGGTCCCCAGAACTCCAAGCTGGAGGCCGCCGTGGCCGAGGCCGAGCAGCAGGGCGAGGCGGCCCTCAGTGACGCCCGCAGCAAGCTGGCCGGGCTGGAGGGCGCCCTGCAGATGGCCAAGCAGGACATGGCCTGCCTGCTGAGGGAGTACCAGGAGGTGCTGAACTCCAAGCTGGGCCTGGACATCGAGATCGCCACCTACAGGCGCCTGCTGGAGGGCGAGGAGCAGAGGTGGGGCCCGACCCAGTTGCCCCAAGAATCCCACTTGCATAGATCCGCCCCCCTTTGATTCCTGCATATTCCAGTCTCAGTCCCAAGAACTAGTCCAAGCTACTCTGTGAGGTCTTTGAATCCTGGATCTCGAAGGACTGGAACTTGGGCATGGCAGACAGAGAAAACACAAAGGCCAGTGCCACCGTGATGTCTAGAGCACCAGAGAGCCCAGGGCCCGGCTGGGACTAGAACTTAGGCACCCTGCCTCTCCATTTAGAACATCCTCAAGTTATTGCACCCTCAACTCTTCCAAGATCCACTCCCTGCCTGGTTTCTAGGAGGTCATCCTGTCCTAGGGTGGAGTTGCTGGCCAAACTCTGACCCTGGCCTCATGTGACTACCCAAGAGAATCTTCCCCTTCCTAAAGCTGAGCCCATCCTGGTATGCCAGATATGGTTGTTCAGGGTGTGCACTGCACAGAGGCAGCCAGCTGAGGGACAAGTGAGAGCTGAAGTCCAGCCCAGACTCTGCTTGCCAAATATCATGGCCTGGCATGGCTGCAACTGCCAGAAAGGCACTTTTTAAAAGTTACATAAGGGCATAAATATAGGCCAGAAATAGCCCTGAGATGACCCATTCCAGCACAGAGGGGAAATTTGAGGATCTCCCTCTGACCTCTTTTCTCTTCCCCTTTCTCACCATTTCCCCACTCAGGCTCTGTGAAGGTGTTGGAGCTGTGAATGTCTGTAAGTATCTTGAGCCCTGAAAAAAAAATTTTAGGTTGGGCAACATGAATTTCCTGGCTGTGAGTGTATAGTGTTTCCAATAATTCCCCCAGTAAATGGGAGTAGGTTGGTCATGCAGCAGGAGAGACTAAGGTTAGCTTGCAGGAAGAACCTCACAGCATGAATGGGGTTGGGAGGGGAAAGAATATACGTCACCACAGGAAGGAACCTCTAAGATGTCAGTACGATCCCCAACTTGTATAGGCGAGGAGGCCGAGGCCCAGAGAGAGGAGGGGACTTGCCCAAGGTCACAAAGCAGACCTAGGGCCAGAACCCAGGGCTCCTGGGCTCCCAGGCTAAGGTTCCTTCCAAGCCTTCAGAACTAGAACTGGAGGACTTTAGTGTCCTTCCCTGGAGGGCTGGACAGATCAGAGAATCCAAAAGAAGGCAGTCAAATGAGGCAGCCGCCAGCCAGGCCTCCCTACCCTGCCCTTGTTCCCGCAGGCGTCAGCAGCTCCCAGGGCGGGATCATCTGCGGGGACCTCTGCGTGTCCGGCTCCCGGCCGGTGGCGGGCAGCGTCTGCAGCGCCCCCTGTGGCGGGAACCTGGTGGTGAGCACCGGCCTGTGCGCCCCCTGCAGCCAGCTCAACACCACCACCGGTTCCTGTGGCCTGGGGAGGTGTTAGGTGGCCCCAAGAGAGAGCCAGAGAAGCCCCTTCTCTCCGCCAGATGTGTCACTGCCCCACCCCCAGCTGAGAACAACAGCGCCTCGGTGGCCTTTCCCCCGTGTTCTGAGAATACACCACGCGGCTCATTCCCAACAGCTGCTCCTCTGCTCACCGCATCCTACTGGACGGGGCCGCGGCCTGGGAATGGATCCCTCCCTCCCGCTGTCTTGGCTTCTGGCCCCTCCCAGGGAGAGGGGCTCTCTCTCCCTGGAGGAGCGTGGCTGGCTGCTCCCCTGCCTCTCTGGCCTCTCATTTGTCCAATAAACTGGGGGATCCACTTTCTGTGCTGTGATGTCTGGCTTTCTCGGAATGAGCCCATGTCCACCAAGTGGTGAGGACCCCAGCCCAGCGAGATGGCCTGAGGATGGGGGTCGTTCTGGCCTGTCCTCAACCTGGACGTGTGCAGGGCCTGTCCCCAAATAGTACCATCCTCCCCCACCCAGGCACTGCTGACCCTGCTCACAGCACCTTCCACCTAAGTCACCCCTGTCAGTCTGGGTGGTTTGGGGCTTGTTCCTCCGACTAATTCTAGTGGGAACCAGAGGAGGCCATGGGATCTGCTGGAAGGATCTGTGTGTGTGTTGGGGGGGGGGTGGTTTTAGACTCCTTCCTCCCACACACACCCTACTTTCTTGGCACAACTTCACTCTACCCCCCGCCACACACATGCAGCAGAGCAGAAACCACCACAAGTACCAGCAGCCACTTCAGGTGGCCACCCTGTGTCCTCCTGGACTCTGCCCACCATCACCACCACTGCCCATCAGACAGGGGCCCTTGACACCCACCCCTTGCCCATCCGTCTCCCCCATACATGCACCTCTTTCACGCCTGGGACAGACTCCTCAAAAGCCCTGTGGCTGGTAAGAGGATACCATCTTCTCACTTTCTCGACTCCCCCACTCACTGCCCTCATCCCCACACACCTCAGAGCTTCAATCCCAAGGCCAAGATGGCTCCTCTGCTCCCTGCATGGCCTGATCTCTCCTGTCCTCTGTTCAGGAAGAACCTGGGAGCTCTTGGGAGGAAGACCTTGAGAAGCCCCTGACCCCATTCTGGAAGAGCCAGGCCTGGAATAGCCTCCTCGGGCCCAGCCCACCTCCTATGCAGTCCACTTCCACCTCACTGGCCCTCTTCTTTCTGCCCTTTGCCCCAGGCCTACCCCAGGCCTAGTCTTGGTCCTGAACTTTCCCACCGTCTCTCCACACTGTCCTGGGGGTCCCAAAACTGAACACAAACCCAGGTTCATTTTCCCGATGCACAGCAAAGCCAATCATGGAAAATGTCAGGCTCGTAGCCAGGAAAGAGGTTTATTATCGAAAGGCAGCCAGACGAGGAGATGGGAGCTAAAACTCAATCCACCTCCCCGAAGGAAAAAAGTTGGGATTTTTATCTAGGGTTTTGGGTAGGAGAGTAAGTAGGAGGGCATTGGGGGTTTTAGGAGTCCTCTGCACAGGTGCGACTGTCTCCATATTTCCTCACGGAGACACGTGTGTGAATTCTAGGGACTCTATATGTTGCACGTGGTGGATTTTTAGTATGTGACACCTAAAGTTTACAATGGGTCATTTTAGCTTCTCAGTGCACCTGTGCAACGTTTAGCCAGGCAGGGGCTGTCAGCAAGCTGCTCTTTTATGGGCAGTCCTCCTGCTCTTCTGCAAAACAAGCTCAGAAACTTCGGTTACTCTGTTTCCTGCGCCAGCCTTGTGAGAGGGAGGCCCGGTTTCACTCTAACCCAGGGAAAATTTTGACTCATTTGTTCTTGGTTTCAGGCCCACCCGCTTCCCGCACTCCCTCCTGGAATCTCCAGGGCCCTCTCTGCTCCTCACTCAAGCCCCCTCTGCTCGCTGTCACCAGCTCTCCCTCCCCCTTCCTGAGCCCCGAGTCACTGGCCTTTCACTTTCTTGTCGGGTGGGCCAGGCTCTCAGCTCCTCCCGGGCAGTCCTGCTCCCTGGCTTACATCCCTCACGTCCCTCCTACAGATAACCTTGCCCTGGAACGTTAAAGTGCCTCAGGGCCCTTCTCTCCCCTCTCTGTGCACCCCCCTGGGCAATCACATCAGTCTCTTGCCTTCAGTGACCACTATGTTAGTGTCTTCCCTGGTTAGAATCCTCCCACTGTGCCTCAGAGGCCCGAGGACTCTCCTGCCTGCCCTCACCCCTCAGCTTCAGACTCACCTGCTCCCGTCCCTAAAAGACATGTCTACTGGCAGTCCAGGAGACCCTTCCAGACCTTCAGATCTTCCAGACCCAACAGACATTCAACCTGAACTCACTCTGTCCCACCCTCTCCCTCAGAGTCTCCTCCTGTCTCCCCATCAGGATCATCAATGCAGCTGCCCAAACTTGAGCCCCATGCCCTCGCCCCCAAAACTGATGAACCCCAGCTCTACTTCTCTGCCTCCTAAGCCCCTCTGATCCTTTTCTTTCCCCTCCGTTGCTACACCCCACACTCTGGCCCCCACCATCTTGGTTGGAGTCCTGCTCTCCTCCCCTCCAACCCACACTACGCAGCAGTCAGGATCTTTATCAAACTCAAGTCTGACCCTGAAGTGGGTCTCCACTGCCCCCAGGCTCTGGAACCTACACACTCGGCTCCGACTAATCTCTCATTGCCTCTCAGCACTCCCCATCGCCCGCCACCCTCCTCCCCCACTCTGGCTCAAGGTGCCCTGGACACCTGTCAAATGAGGGCTGGACCAGAGACTGCAAGGGCCTTTTCAGTCCTGACCTTCTTGGCAGTGACTCTGAGCTCTGTTCTGGGATTCTAACGCTCCCTTCACAGGGACTTAAGGAGGGTGTGTAAGGGCTGCCAGCCTTGGGAGCTCATCAGGTGCCAGCTGGGGGAGTCCAGGGAGGCTCCATGCCTCTGGAGGTAATGCATCTTCCTTCCACCCCACCAGCCCAAGGGACCCGGCAGGACTGGTGTTGCATACTCTCCAACTGTTAGACCTTCCCGTCCAGACCCTGAGCCCCACCACCTCTGCCACCACTGCCACCTCTCCCCCAAGGAGAGGTGCAGCCACAAAGAGGCCTGGGCCTTGGTGCTGGGAGGAAAGAAGAAGCACGGCTGGAGGATCGTTAACCGGGAAAGCTGTGTATCTCTGAAGGAAGTAATATTGAAGCTGAGACCTAAAGGAAGATTAGGGGTCCATTTATTCAATCAACACATAATTATTGAGCATTTAATATACCAAGTAGAGTTATAAAAAGCTTGGGTTCATATAAGTGAAGAAAATAGTCAAAGATGCCTATCTTCCATGAAGCTCACATTTTACAGCAAAAAGTAAACATAAGTAAGGAATTAACCAGGAGGAAGAGATGTGTTCCAGACATGGGGATAGCATATGAGGAGGCAAGGATGGAAAAAGAGCATAGAAACTTCCAGAAACTCTAATAAGTTCCTAAGGCTGGTGGGGGAGGATGGGAGGACGCTCTCCAGTGCCCTTTAAAAGCTGAAAACGAGCCCTTCATTTCTACACTCTCCCCCACTACCCTCTCCTACCCCAATCCCACCTCCACCCCATAAAAGCTTTCTTCATCCAAAGTCATTTCTCGTTCCTACTTCCTTCCAGGCACTTTTCTCACCATCTTGCAGAGGTGGATGGTATGAGCCAATTAATGAGGTTTCCCACGCTTCACAGAGAGCCAGCTGCCTCTTCTCCGGAAGGTTCCTGCTGACTGCTGAGGAATACGAGCCATCTGGATGGCAGATCCCCGGTGCTGGCAGGCCGAGATAAGGCCAGGCGTGGCAGTAACAATACCCAGAGCAACGGTCCCTCGGCATCTGCCCTCCCCTGCACAGCAGCTGAAGCTCTTGCTCGTTCAGTAGGCCAGTTGTCGCCCCAAAACGTGGATAAACTGAGGTTCCAAAAGCTGAAGAGTCTTGACCACACACTCTTGGCGACCAAACCAGGACAAGAACCTAAGATTCCAGACTTCCGGCCCCCAGTCTTTCTCTACCACCCCACTCTGCCGCCTGTGATTCAGAGGTCAGGAATGCTGTGCTGTTACTATATCACAGTAATGGTAACAACAACAACAACGATAATAAATCGCAGTTTTTGAGTCGCAATTATGTGCTGCACTATACTGTAAACTTTTATATGTCTCATCTCATTTAATCCTCCTGCGGTAGCTATCTTCAGAAATGGCCCCCAGCAATCCCTCCCCTCTCTATGCATGCCACTCCTCATCTCAAAGATGGAGCCGATTTCCCTCCCCTTGAATCTGGGCTGGTCTTGTGACTGCTTTGGCCAACAGAACGTGGTGGAAGTGACCTTCTGAGCTCAGGCCCAAAGAGGACTGGCAGCCTCTCCTTCCGTCCTTCCTTCTTCCTGGAACCCAGCCACCAGGCGGCGAGCAAGCCCACGCAGCCACGTGAGAAAGGCCCCTGTGGAGGAGAACCGAGTCTCCGTAGGCCAGTGATGAATCTATTGTCTGCCTGCTCTGTGTATCATGGCCTGCTCTGAGAAAATGGAGAGAGGCCCTTTACGTATTTTTCCCTTGTCTGCCGGCACAATATTGAGCTTTGTCAGTAGAGGGCGCTGGAGGGAGATTGCAGGAGGAAGGGGTTTTCCTTCCGGATCCAGGGTGCTCCTCTAGGCAGATTCCTGGAGCGAGCACAGTTTCTCCAGAGCTCAGCTCCTGCGGTGCACAGTGGCCAGCGGCAGCCTGTGGCTAGCAGCCTCCAGTATCCTTCTCGGGTGGTTTTGAGGTGGAGACATGTCTTCACGAACAGCTTTCCCTAAGAGCATAGAGGGCAGAATTCTAGCAAATTCAAAAGGGTGGATTCCAGCAAGTTCTGCCAGTATGGCACTGCCACGTACCATGAGTCTTATCCAGCAAGATGTGGACCTCAGCCACAGGGGGTCCTCCTTGGGTGCACCACGTCAGAACAGGAGGAGGGGCTGCTCCTTACGTCTGCAGCTCCTGTATTCTTTAGATTTCTTGGTTTTACTAGCCAATCCCTCGTTACTCCACTCCCCTGTTACAGTTAACAATTCTTTACATTAAACTTCATCTGTTCAAATTATCGTCCCCTGCTTAGACCCTGACTGATACACTCTGGCCAACAGCTCCCACTGAACTCCCGGCTGGCGGCCAACACCAAATCCGGCCGTGCGAAATGAGGCCATTTTGGACCTTCCAGACACCCTAGCACCCCAGACAACACCACACAAAGCAGAAGAACCGCCCGGTAAGCCCACAGAATCATGAGAAATGAGAAAGTATTATTGTTTTAAGCCTCTACATTTTGGAGTGATTTGCCATGTGCGATACATACCTGAAACACCTCCCTACAACACAGGAGGGGTCATCGTTCCACTTTACAGATGACAAAGCTAAAGCTCAATGAGGACTGGTGACTTGCCCACGGTCACAGAACTAGTAACGGCTGAACCAGCAGTCCAGCATAGCTTTGTATCAACAAAACCCTTTTAAATACATAATCTCACTTAGGGAACCAGAAGGGACCTTAGGAATACTGTCTAACCTCCCTCATCCTACGGCCGAGGAAACTGAAGCTCAGAAGTTGGAAGCCATTTGCCCCAAGTCTCACATTTGGGAAATGGCAGAGTCAGGACTCCGGACTAGAAGTCTCGTTCTTCTGACTCTCAACCCAGTGCTCCTCCTCTTAACGTGCACTGCTCGGCTCCCGGGCCTGCCTCCCATTCCCACCTTCACTCATTTTCTCAGGCACTTCCCCCTCCAGGAATGCCCCCGGGGAGCAAAATCACTCTGGTTGAGAACCCCTAGGGCCCATTAGGCCGGGTCTAGAGGCCTCTTGGTTGTCACAGTTGGGAATGGGGGTGTATTGCTGGCATCTACTGGGTAGAGGCCAGGGATACTGCTAAACGCCCTGCAGTGCAGAGGACAGCCCCATAACAAAGAATTCTCCAGCCCAAAATGTCAATAGCATTGAACTTGAGAAACCTTGGTTTAGAGAAACCCATGACCACGCAAGATTCCCCACCTCCCTGAGTCTTCTCTCGTTTCCCCCAGGCTTGGGCTGCTCCAGACCAGATGGGCAGCGCCTCCTGCGGTCATTTTCACCTACTGAAAGATGACCAAGTGGATGGAGAGGTCCTGAGGGAATCTCTGGTGGGAGCACCCCCACAAGAGGCCCCTGGCATTCTCAAGACTTGGAGGCACCAGGTTTGATCAGCTACAATGAGTTTATTGGAAACAGAGTGACACAAAGGCAAACAAATGAGCAGGCAGTTGAGTCATCGGCTTTTTAGAGGCAGCCCTAGAAGGAAATGTTCTCCCCTCCCACGGGCCATGTCCCCCACAGAGTCACAGGAAAACCTCCATCAGTGTTCCCCATCTCCATTCCACAGGTACAGGCAGACAGGAAGATTGTGGGGCCTGCCCTGTTCCTCCATGGTCGGATGAAGAGGTCAGGCAGGACCAATGAATCCAGCAGAAAGCAGAAGGCAGAAGAAAGGATGAATCCTCAGGACGACAAATAGACTACTAGGAGAAGCTACAGAAAGAGGCAGAGGTGCCGCCCCGCCTCCCCAGGCTCACTGCGCCTGGGGGATGGCGCACAGAGGGAGCAGGTGGGGAGGGTGTGCAGAGTGCACACCTCTGGCGACCGGTTCCCCGCAGGCCGGCGGCTGGTGCGCGGGGCAGCGGGAGGGGCGGCGGTCCGGTTGCGCGGGGTCCTGGCTGGCCGAGGCAGACGGTGACGCGCGCTCACGGAGGCTGCGGCCTCCTAACACCTCTTACAGCCCAGGGTGCAGGGGGCGCAGGCGTTGGCAGTGCCCACCACCACGTTGCCGCTGCAGGGGGCGCTGCAGACGCTCGTGGTGACCGCAGGGGCAGCACCAGAGGCGCAGAGATCGCCACAGACGATGCCACCGCGAGAGCTGCTGACGCCTGGTTGCAGGGAGAACAGGCAGAGACGAGTGTCAGGCACGGCCACAGGCAGGCGGCTTTGGGGCAAACGAAAATGCCCCCTCCCCAAGGGCACTGGGAACACCCCGGCGGGAGATGGGGGAGGGCTCCTGCTACTTACAGACATTCACGGAGCCAACGCCCTCACACAGCCTGTTGGGAAAGGAAAAGAGAGGTCAGTGCCGCGGAAAAGCCGCCGTCCCCGCAGCCAAGGTGAAAGGTGAGATGGGTGGGAAGGGCAATAAACGGACCAATCCAGAAGCCAGGGCAGCCCAGTCACCGCGGGAGGGTTCTGGAGACAGAATGCGGGGCTCTTCACTTCTTATTAGCTGAGCAACCTAAGATTTGCCCTCCCTCAGCCCGCCTCCTCACCGGTCAAATCTACGCCTAGATCTGCTGTGAGAATGACATCAAATGACACGTGTAAGTGCCTAGTGCAGCCACACAGTGAGCACTCCAGAAATGTTAGCTGCTCCTACTTCCGTAGGTTCTGATTGACCTGTAAGTGCCTTTGAGGGGTGGCAGATGTCACTTCCTAAATCTGGTCTGATTGGTGTCATGAGAACGTAGCTTCAGGAGGGCAGGAGATTTTGTCGATGCTTTTCCCCCTTACAGAATCGACAGTGCCTAAAACAGTGTGTGGCTCCATAAATGTTGTGTGAATGAATGGGATCTTAGAATCCATTCAGAACGGGCTCAGATCTATCTACGCCCATTCCCTCGTTTGACTGATGGAGAAACTGAGGCCCAGAGGGAGGAAACAACCAGTGATAGAGGCAGGGCTATACCTGGGGCCACCTAACTCCACCCAGCATGCCTTTGCTGCCCACACAACACTGTCTCCCCAAGGAGACAAACTGGAGACCCCCTGAGGGGACTGCAGCAAAGTGCTATAGAAATCAGCTTCAGATCTGAGGAGAATCTGCAGCCCACTGTTTAATCATCCCACACCCAGGCTTCCTAGGGACCCACACCAAAGCTTCTGAGTTCCCTCCAAGGGCCGGTGTGGCGGGGGGTGGGGGGGACAAAGCTTCCAGTGCAGTGTCCACGTGTCTCTCCAACTTCCAAACTCAGTCTTGAAAGATTCCTCTTCCTGGGATTCTTCATTAATGAAACTCCCCAGGCCCGGGGAGCCCCATGTCTCTGAGCTCTCCAGTGCAATTACTTGAGTTTGTTGCAAGTCTCACCACAGGATCACTTTGATTCTGGTACCAAACCTCGGTCCCCATCTCCCCAGTACACAGGATGCTCCCTCTGCATCCTCACTCTCCTCTGCCCTGGGGCAGGGGCCTAGCTGTACACAGAAGAGGAAGGCTCAGGGTGTGAGCACTTGGCAAACCCGGGGAAAGAACCCAAGGGCAACTTTCTGGGAGTGTTGTCCTCATAGGAGCTGTTCAGCTGCCCTCCAGCCATGGGAAGGCTAATGACCAATGAGTCTCCTCTGCCCCTAACACGAGCAACAAGCAAAAATGCCCAGAGCCGAGTGAAACTGCCTCAAGGGACAAATCCCCGCTGTCTCTCTGCCCTCAGTCCTACCTGCTGCAATGGAAGACCACGAGGGGGACTCCCTGTAGTTCGAATAGGTAAGTGTCAGTTGGGAAAATCCCCTATTGAAGCTGTCAAGATGGGAAAAATCCCAGGGCTGGGCCAGGGCCAGGCTTGAAAAGAGAGCTGGAATCCGGAGGGGCATATGCAACAATGGCCCGAGACAGAAGGAGCACTATCGAGGGAAGGTGGCCTAGGCTGGGCTGCTCAGAACAGTGATTACTAGAGCTTGACACCTGCCCGAGGGACAGATTTGCAAAAGGAATCAGACCCAGATCAGCATGTGGTGGGCATGAGAGATTCAAACGAGGTAGAAACATACCCAAAGGACTTAGTCAAATTACCTGTCCCGGTGCAGGAAGGGGAGGGTTGGAAGTGGAAGTCGTGTGATACCCAGAGTGTGAGAGACGACATACGGGGAGAACACAGGCAGGGCCAGGAGAGGAATCCGCTACGGTACCCACCTCTGCTCCTCGCCCTCCAGCAGGCGCCTGTAGGTGGCGATCTCGATGTCCAGGCCCAGCTTGGAGTTCAGCACCTCCTGGTACTCCCTCAGCAGGCAGGCCATGTCCTGCTTGGCCTTCTGCAGGGCGCCCTCCAGCCCGGCCAGCTTGCTGCGGGCGTCACTGAGGGCCGCCTCGCCCTGCTGCTCGGCCTCGGCCACGGCGGCCTCCAGCTTGGAGTTCTGGGGACCCAGAAGAGAACGAGGTGGGTCATGGTCCCTGGGTCTCTCTGTCCATTTCCTGCCTGTGTTCAGTCCTCCTGCCCAGCTGGGGACACCCAGGAACAGGCCTCTCGCCCTCATCACCTGGGTCTCCCTGAGCGACCACAAGTAGGGACTCTAGTCATGCACACGGGCTGGAGGATGAGTGCTGAGATCCACACTGGGCTCACACACCCTGGGTGGGCCCCAAACGACCATTACCTGGCACTTGGCATTCTCGATCTCGGCGGTCAGCCTCTGGATCAGGCGGTTCAGCTCGTTGATCTCCTCCTTGGTGCGGCGCAGGGTCTCCCCGTGCCGGACCACCGTGGCCTTTATCTCCTCGCACTGGGGGGAAGCAGAGAAGCTCCTGAGGCTCAGGATGGGAAATCCCACCCATTTGGGACACCACAGATGATAGTACAGGTTGCACAGTGCTCATCCTGTGCAACCACACATGGCAGCCCTGCTCAGCCACCCCAACCTGAGAGCTGTCTGCCTTTCTTACCATCTCTAGGGAAGTACACACCACAATTGCCTTAGGGATCAGAATCCCCTGACAAAAGAAGCCTTGCTAATATATACCTTGCATCCCTCCCACTGCCATAGGTAGAAGGCAAGTGCTCTGTGCCACTCACCTTGGTGCGGTACCAGCTCTCAGCCTCGGCCCGGCTGCGGCTGGCGATGTCGTCGTAGTGAGCCTTGATCTCAGCCACGATGCTGTCCAGGTTCAGGTCCCGGCTGTTGTCCATCTTGACGATGACCGAGGTGTCCGAGATGTGGGCTTGGAGAACACGGATCTCCTGCGATGGGGGGGTGGCGGGGAGTGGAAGGCTCTTGTTCACAGCACAGCCTCACCCACCATAGCCTGGACCGTCTTCTCAGCCCTTCCCTGGTCCTCAGCCCTGCCCGCTCTGAGAGCCTCATGGACGGCAGCCCCCTGCCCACATCCCTGTCCCCCTCTAGTCCCAAGCCAGTGCCCTCTCTTCCAGGCCGGCTGCTGGTTTTCTGCCGGCACCACGCCGCCTCACCTCCTCATAGAGTCGCCTCAGGAAGTCGACCTCCTGGGTCAGCGCCTCCGCGTTGGCCTCCAGGTCTGACTTCTGGAGGTAGGCGCAGTCCACGTCCTGGAAAGGTGGGGAGTCTTTGAGCTCAGAGGACCCCTGGTGATCGTCACCCCACACTCCTCTCTCTTCTCACCCATTACGTGGAGGCCAGGGGAAAGGATTGCCCAGTGTTCCCATCCCATGCCATCTCCATACCTTCTGACCGCCCAGGATGGGCTCCCGACCCCTGCCACTTCTGAGAACAAACCCTGGTGCCTTGGCGATGGGCCACCAGCCTTTCACCCCCGACCGGGGACAGCTTGCCCTCCTGGCTCTCGTTTCCACCCTCCCCTGTTCCAGGAGGCCTGCCAGGCAGATTCCCCCGCTCGGCCACCTTGACCCTTCGCTGTCCCCCATGGTCCTCCAGGACTGCACCTGGCCACTCCTGGTTCTGCTCCATCCTCCCCCAAGCCTGGGACTGTGGCCCTGCTCTGGGTCAGATGTCCCACAGGCCTCGACAGCACAGTGTCCCTCAACAGAGACACTGAAGCTGCTGTGCGTCCGTGTGGACCTCGGACATCCAGGGGGCAACCCGGCCATCCCCCTGCCGCAGGGCAGCGTGGGAGTGGGTATTCCAGGTTATTGCCCTCGGTCAAAGGCCTGGATGTGCCTTTCATGACCTGATCTCTGGGGATTTCCCACCTCATGTGGCAAGGTGACTGCACCCCACACTGAAGTGGGGACCCTGGGTCTCCCCGAGAAAAGTCTGTCATTCTGAGGTCTCTCGTGTCTGTGCCTCCCGATCCCATGGCACCCACCTTCTTCAGAGCCACAAACTCGTTCTCAGCTGTCGCTCTCAGAGAAACTTCCTCCTCATACCTGAGGCACAGGAGGGCAGAGCGGAAGGTTACAGGAGGGCAGGTCTCCCCAGACCCCTCCACTTCACCCCAGGGACGGGGGAAGTATTAGGAACCTCCCCACTCAGCTGGGCCCCCGGCAGCCCTGCTGGGTCCTGTCTGCTTGGATTGGGGTGTGTCTGTGATTCTCTCTCCACTGTGAATTGAGGGCTCTGGGGCTAATCTTCTGGGACCTCACAGCCCTGTTCCCAAAGCTGCTCTGAGGTCACCTCCGGAGGCACATAAGCCTCAGCACCCAGCCCCATGCCAGGAGTGGACAGCGTCACCTCGGGGCACTGAGGCTCAGCCTCCTCTCCCCTGGGTGTCCCTCCTTGCTCAGGTGTAGGGGCCCATGAGACCCATGGGCCATCAGCATTCAGTACCCTAGGCTGTAGGACCCCCAGAGCCCCACGACCTGTCAGCTCTGAGTCACCCAGATGCTCACATTGGGTCCAGGTGCTACAGTGGGAGCCTGAGAGGGCAGGAGGAGAAGGCCCGGGAGATGGCAGAAGCCTCCTCCCCACAGAGCACAGGGGACAGCTGCTGATGGTCAGGATCAGGGAAGAGAAGGCTGAGGTAGGAGAGATGTCTCCAGGGGGAACCCGGCCCTACACTTAGGTTCAAGCCCATTGGATTAGACCTGAGAAGAATTTCCCAGCAGGGCAAGTGGCCATGCAGGCCAGGTTGGTGGGCTGTAGCAGGATCCTCTCATCAGTGCAGTTGTTGCCCAGATGCCTGCCTAAGTCATTTCCTGTGCCCAGTGTAACCCCCGGCTGCACTCACCTCTTCTTGTAGCCCTCCAGCACCTCCTGCACGTGGTTGAGCTCCGAGGCCAGCCTCCCGCTGTCGGCCTCCACTCGCTCGGCCTCCCGCCGCAGCGTCTCGAGGTAGCCGCTGAACAGCGGCTCCAGGTTACTCTCACAGCACTTGCGGTTCTGGTAGAACTGCAGCTTCGTCTCCAGCAGCTTGTTCTGCTGCTCCAGGAAGCGCACCTGCCATTCGGGGTGGGGAGGAGGGGTCAGATGGCTCCTGGCGCCCCAAAGCCAATTTGGGGGAGAGAGGTGATTGCTTTCAGGTACACTCCTAACGCAGAGCTCAGCAGAGATTAGACAGAGCTGGGCAGTGGGACACAAGGCAACCTCTGGATTTCCTGATTGGGTTCTCTGTCTGGATTTTCCAGCTTAGGGATGGGAGCAAGAGTTATCCCCACCTGATGCGTCCAGGTCGTGTGGTCAGGAGCCAGGTGGAAAGCTCAGCCCCTCACCCTGGACCCAGAGGAGGAGCCCTCTTAGGCAAAGCCCCCAGATTCAGTCACAGCATGGGGTTTCTGGGACCAGGAGGATGTCACAGGCCATCTAGAGGAGAGCTTAGCTACCCTAGCCCCTCCCTACTTCATCTGACAGCCAATCCACCCCACCCCCTCAGAGGGAACACAGCTGCAGTCTGGGGCAGTCCAAACCTCTGTGATCTCAGAAGCAGCCCTCACACTCCTTCCCGACCTCCTGAAGTCTGGCTTGTGCCCTAGGGCAGCCAGGTCACACGTTTTTTCCACAAGCCCTGCCTATCTGAACTCTCAACAGAGTCTGTCTGGTCTTGTGTGAGTGCCTGTTTGTGTCTGTGTGTCTGTCTGACACCCCAATCAGACTGGGCACTCCTGCAGGCAGAGGTCTCTCTGCCTCAGACTCTCCCTGAGTGCTCATCCTGAGTCCTGAGCATGGGTGAGGTTCAGGAAAGGCGTGATCAAGGACACCCACCTTGTCGATGAAGGCAGCGAACCTGTTGTTGAGGCTCTTGATCTGCTCCTTCTCCTCTTGCTTCACGTACTGCGCATTGGGGTCGATCTCCAGGTTGAGGGGCGCCAGGAGGCTCTCGTTGACCGACACGGTGGTGATGCAGGGCGCGCTGGGCCCGCGCACGCCGCCGGAGCGGTATCCGAAGCTGCGGCCGCAGGAGCCGGCGCGGAAGCCCCCGCAGAGGCTGCGGCTGCCGAAACCCCCGGAGAGGCCGCGGTAGCAGGAGACGCCGCGGTAGGGGGCGGCCGTGATGCAGCAGCGGCCGGGCCGGGGCCCGCAGGCCGAGGCGCAGCTGAAGGCGCGGCCAGCACAGTAAGATCCACAAGTCATGGTGCTTCTTTGGGGCACGGAAGCTCTGAGGAGGGAGATGTCCTAACTGAGGGCACGGTGGAGGAGGTGTTTAGGTCTTGGTCATCTTTGGGCCTTTTATATGTGTGGAGAGCCTGATGCGTCCACGGGGTTAGGAGCAATTAGACGCCTTTATAGGCTTGGTTTGTTCAGCTGCTGTCGCTCCTCCCTAAATGTACTTAATTGGGGGCCAGATGCGGCCAGCTGTTTATGGCCTTTTACCCTAAACTCACAATTTTTATCTTCAAAGGGCCAGCTCACCTCCCCCACACCCACCCCAACCACCGCAATCACAGTTGGCGAAGCTCAGGGTTTGGAGGATGGGGGAGAGGTGACTCAGGTTGGAATGGAAGGCGGGGCAGGGGCGGAGCTGAGGCTTCTCCGGAGCCGCCCTGCGGGATGAGGTCGGCGCCGCTGTCCGTGGTGCTGATCTGGCCGGCCCCGGAACCCCGAGGAAGCGAAGGATCAACAGAAGAGGATGTGGAACTTGGGGTGCGCTTGGTGATTTCCCTCACACTGCCGGCCTCTTTCTGCACCGCCAAAGCCCCATACTTACACAATGTCTCACTTAATCACCCACACACGAACCCAACACCCCACACCTGCTCCCAAATCCCTCACCTACACCTATCAACATATTCTCTCTGTCTCTGTGTCTCTCTGTGTCTCTGTCTCTGTCTCTGTCTCTCTCTCACACACACACACATGAGCTCACGTATGCACTCTCCTACCCCCTCTTCCACACAGACCAGTCCCTAGGCCAACCTATTAGACCTTCTTGGCCAGCCTGTGCTGAGAGGAGGCATTCCCTCCCTCAGAGTCTTCAATGAGGCCTAAGGGGTCATACCCTGGCTCACTGGCCTCAAGAATGCCCAACCGTCTCCAACAAGGCCCCAAGCAAGGATCGTGTCTGGATTTCACCTCAAGCCTCCGTGTTTCATCCAGGGCCCAGAAGGCCTGGGGTGGACACCACCGTTACGAGTCTGTATAGTATTTGGCTCAGAACATAATAGAATCAATCTGGATAGAGCCAAATGAGGAGAACATCTAGCCCCCTGCCATCACCCCCCTGAGTCAGTTCTGCTTTCCATGCTCTACCCACCTTTCAACTCCTTCCCTTTACAGTAGTTTGTCAGTAAACTTGGCAGGTGTTAGAACAGATCCATGTTGGTGTATACCATCCTTCCAGTGTGCACAGTGTGGGCCTTAAACCCAAAAGGGCTGGGTGAGAACAAAGGCTCTGCCATGACTAGTTCTGCAAGGCACTTCACTCCTCTGGGAAATGGATTAAGCCTTCCCTCCCAGTGCTGCCCTGGAGAATCACAGAGATAGGCACATGCTTAGTAAACCCCAGAGCCCAGTGCAGATGTGCTGCATAGTAACCATCAAGAAGCAGGAGGCTCTGCGGCAGCTGTTTTTTTCAGAGTTCACATGGTAACCCACTAATGGGAGCAATGGAAGCAACCAGAGTTGTTTGTGGGTTTTTTTTTTTTTGGTTTTTTTTTTTTAGTTTTTTTAGGGTTTTCTTTTTGTTTTTGTTTTTGGTGAGGAAGATTCGCCCTGAGCTAACATCTGTGCCAATCTTCCTCTATTTTGTATGTGGGTCGCCGCCACAGCCTGGCTGACGAGTTGTGTAGGTCCACACCCGGGATCCAAACCCACGAACCTGGGCCACTAAAGTGGAGTGTGCCGAACTTAATCACTATGCCACAGGGCCAGCCCCCAGAATTTTATTTTAATGAAATAGATTAGAACAAAATCAAGGAGAGAAGAAAATATCAGAATGCATCATATGTAGTAAGAAAATCATTTCATGACCTTTTGTTTCAGTTGTATGTGGTGTGTGTGTATGTGTAGTTAGTCACTACAAAAAATTATTTCTTAATATGATTGAAACTAAAAGTTTAAATACACGGCATATCAGTTAAGAACAGACTCAGATTCCAAACTGCCTGGTTTCAAAGTCCAGCTCTGCCACTTTCTAGATGTGTAAACTTGGACAATTACTTAAACTCTCTGTACCTCATTTCATGATTTGTAAAATGGGGATAATAATAGTAGCCACCTGATAAAGTTGTTGTAAGGATTAAAAGACTTAATCCATGTAAAGCGTTTAGAACAGAGCCTGACACACTCCAAGTGTGTAATCATATCAGTAGTAGGAGTTGCTGCTGCTGCAATAGTTATAGTGACAGGTTTGATGCGGAGGTAGGGATATGTGTTAGTGTTACTGTTCTTGTTGTTGCTGCTGCTGTGGATATGTCAGCAGGTTTGGTGGAATATACCTATCCACATTCCTAACCCACCCATGTAACATTCCCACTAATGGTGCCTATCTTAAAGGACTAGTAAAAGGATTAAATTAAATAACACATGGACAATGCTTAACATAGCACCTGGCACATAGCAAGACTTCAATACATGTCATCTACTCTTATTTTTCCATGGAGTTCAGTCCAAAGGGCAGGGAGGACCTGAGACCTCTGGCAATGGTTACTCCTTTTATCCTGGAAAAGAACCCAAAAACAAATGCCCTTCCTTCCATCCCCTCTCTAGCCCAACTGCCCCAGGGAAGGACCAGTGAGAATCTCTCCTCTTACGCAAAGAGAAAATGTCACCAGTCCTTGGGCAACCACACTACTCGATGAAAAAAGAAGCTTGGGCACTCCAATAAATCTGTTACCTATAAATTATTCATAAATTTGTATTTTTTATTTGGCCTTAACAGGCCATCAGAAATCCTCAGTCATAAATCAATGGCATGCTCACTCATCTTGCTTTTTACCTGATCCCAGAACCTCCTGATTGATCAGTAGCCAGGGGATACCATGGGATTGAGGGTGGGGATATGCTGTTGATAATCCATCCAAGTAAAATGGAACTCCAAAGAGATCAAGAGAAGGCAGGCTTCCACTGCAGCTAGACAGATGGAAGTTGGAGTTGAGGAAGAACTTCCCAGAAGGAGGGCAGGTAGTCATGGTTTCCTAAAGGAGCTTGCATTGTGTCTCCCATTTAGGGAAGCTTTAAACAAAAGAGAAACACTCTATTCTGGACTGGCCACCATGTTTGCGGAGACAGGATGAACCAAAAAACCTTCAGATCTGGAGATCAGACTCTCTTCTTTTAGCCCAAGTGGATCTTGTTTCAAGGGACACCTGGAAAATATCTGCACATCAGCCTTCAGGTATCCAAGGGGCCATGCCCTTTCTAACCTTGCAGCTCATGCATTCTGTTCACAGAAAGCAAGTGCAGGCCAGGTTCCAGTGAGGGAAACTGAGGGGCAAGGGAGTGGCGGTTTACAAAACACCTGGACTGTTGATGAGGGAGTTGACCTCAGGTCTAGCCACCAGGGTTGGTGAGTTGAAGACAGGCCCAAGTCGGACCCCTGCCTTCTCAGCCAAGGCAGCCCAGGACACTGGCCAATTATCCATCAGAACTCACCAGAGGACTCATGGAGACCCTGAGTATGGATGAAGCCTGACTCAAGAGCTCCACCCCTGGTGAGGTCCATCCCACTAGCCCTGCTGAGCCCCTGCACCTCCTTAGCCCATGACCCTGCCCTGTGAGGGTCCATTACTATAAAGCTGCAGCTAAGGTTGCCCACCTCTTCAGCTAGGTCTACACTTCGCCCTCAGTGCTGCGCCCCTTCCCCCATCAACCTCCTCCTCCTATGCTCTTCCAGCCCTGGAGTCTCTCTCCACCACTCTCCCCTGGGTCTTCTCCCCATTTTTCATCCACTGTCCTCCACTTCCCTCCTCTTCCCTCTGTCTCCTCCAATCTCTCCTCCCTCCCATTCTCCTCAGCCCCCAGCCAGTCTCCATCCTTCTTCCAAGTGGCCCTAGAGAGTCATAGTCTAAGACCAAGCACCTTCTCCATCCTTTTCTCTTCAAATCTACCTCCCATCCACTTCTCTCTTTCCTTCCCCAATCCTACCCTCAGTCTCTACTCTGCCCCAAGGCCTCCAGGATTCTTGCCCTCATTGGCTGGCTTTCCCTACTACCCCCGTTATCATTCAGGTGAGGAATTTTGCTTTGGTCAAGGACACATCTGCTCACTCTATCCCTCTTTCAATTTCCAGCCAGGAATGTCTCCCCACCCCACCCCACCCCCAGGAATGGCTGCCTTCTGATCTGCTTCATCTGGTCCCCACCCCAACCTACCAGAAAGCTTCGCAAAATTAACCACCAAGCTTTGATGGCTCCATTACTCAGCACCAAATATGCAGCTGCTTTTCATTTCATTCATTCAACAAATATTTATTGAGCACCAACTATGTGCCAAGCCCTTGGAATATACCCATGAACCAAACATCTGTACCCATTGATATGTTGTAGGGTTTGCATTTTTTTTTCCTGATCTGGGTACATGTCCAGCTTGTCTCATAGAACTGGAAACTCACCACAAACAGGGGTGAGCTCTCCTCCATCCTCTGGTCCTGAACCCTGAAGCACTGCGAAGGGCCCTGGGCACTGGAGGGAGGGGATCAGTGAGTGTGTGTGTTAATGTGTTATATGCAGACATTATCCACGGTGTGATATTTATAATGATGGCGGGTAGTGGACAGATGGGAGTGCAATAGAATCTACTCACCCCTTCCATTGGAGTCAAACACACCAGGCTCCAAGTGCCAGCTCTGCCACTAACTACATGACTTGAGCAAGTCTCTTAACCTCCCTGGGCCTCAGTGTCCCCATCTGTAAAACTAGAATAATAACACTTGCCTCAGAGGGTAATTGTAAAAACTAAATGCATTAACGCACGTTGGGCTCTTAGCATAGAATCTAGTAAAAGTAAGATGAACATCAAGAGTTATTTTTTAAGTTTGGAAGAATATTCAGAAAATAGTTTCCTTTTTTTTTTTTTTTTGTGAGGAAGATCAGCCCTGAGCTAACATCCATGCTAATCCTCCTCTTTTTGCTGAGGAAGACCGGCTCTGAGCTAACATCTATTGCCAATCCTCCTCCTTTTTCTCCCCCAAAGCACCAGTAGATAGTTGTATGTCATAGCTGCACATCCTTCTAGTTGCTGTATGTGGGAAGCGTCCTCAGCATGGCCGGAGAAGCG